CCCGGGCGGCGGCGGCGGCGGCGACGGAGGGAGCCTTGGGGAGGTGGCTCCTTCCTGGAGGGGGCGCCCACTCTCCTGAGATCGCTCTTGACCTGACCCGAATCCTTTTCTCTTTTTGCCTCTTAGCCCGGGAAGTGGCACCTCTCTATTCTACTCCAAGAGGATGCCCGTCGCTCGAGGCGCCCCAAGCTCCGAGTGGTCGTCACCTTGCACATTCCTAACCTTACCGAGACCCTGATCCCAGGGAACCTCAGACCCTTTTACCCAAGATATTTTTTCCTTTCATCCTACTCCAGGAGTTCCCCGTTTAAACTTCCTGAGTTTCTCTCACCCCTAACGCCTTGTCCCAGCACTCCTTATCCGAGGAGTTCCCTAGTCGCCACCTTCCGGGCCAACCCCTTTCCTCCAACTGCTTCCTCTGAAGGCCTCGCCATCGCCTCTTAAATACTTTGTGCTCCTTGAGACCCCGAATCTTCGCTGGGCAGGGGACGCTCTCTTTTCCTTTGAGTGGCCTAGGGGAGAGGTAAGGAGTGGGGGGAAATCACAGGGTGTAAGTATGCGTTTGGGGTCCAGCTTCTCCGCAATGCGGACCTCTTCTGTAAGTGTGAGGCAGAGCGCGGTTTTTGGGAGTCACGGTGGCCGAGTGGTTAAGGCGTTGGACTCGAAATCCAATGGGGTTTCCCCGCACAGGTTCGAATCCTGTTCGTGACGTGTGTTTTTTTCTGCCCACCACCCCCGCCCCACCCTTTCAGAAAGTGTAAAGGGAATCCCTTGTTTTCACATGTGCCTTTGCTACACTGCCATTTCTGCCTCGGAAAGAGAAGCCATAAGGTCTCACCCCTGATTTGGGATGGGGTGGAGTGGGAGGTGGGGGGGGCGGTGAGGGTGATCGCGGAAGCTTAATTTATACACTACCGTATGGCCACTAAGATACAAGGCACTTTAAGAGTTCTGTAACTTCAGGTTTGCTAGCAGACCATTGGCATACATTGATTCATGCTTTTAGGAGGGACTAGCAAAGGGTTTGAAGAAAGGTTTTGTTTTGTTTAGGAATGTAAATGCCTGTTGTGCTGTAAAGAGTTGAAATCGAAGTTTCTAGGAAAAGAGTGCATCTCTGGATTTTATGACCAGAAGTCACATCTTGTTTGATTACAAATGTAAACCCAGGAAACAGGGCATTCTCTCGTTTGGATTTCCTCGAGGTGACCCTCAGGTACCACAGAGTGAGGGGGAGTAGCCTACTGAAACAAACACTGCAGATCTAGCTGGAGCTAGTGTGGGAAGATAACTGCCACTTTTTATTGAGTGCACATTGTGTGCCAGGTAATGTTCTAAATTATCCGTGTATTAACCAAGGTAGGGAATTAACCCCTTCTCTAAACTGTCATGCTGCTGTACTCACTTCATCCAATTCTTCCTATCCCACAATTACTGATTGTGGGGAATATCTAGGACATTTGTGGAGGATGTTCTTTTTGTATTTCATTTCTTGCACAGCAGCATCTTCTCTAGGAAGGATCCCGAAAGGATGGGGGATTTCATGGTAACTCATAGAGCTTTCTACACATTTTTACTTTGGAGTTTCCTACCTTCATACCTTTCCTTATGCTGTTCTTTCCAGGATCACACTCATCACTGCCTCCTTCCCCACTACATGATCACTTTCCATCCTGGACATCCTTTTACCCCTTCCCTCTTTGAGGCTCTTGATTACCCCAGCTGGAACCTATCAGGCTCTCTCCACCATCCACTACATTGCATGCAAGGCATCTCCTTTGACACGCCTCTGCAAAAATTAAAATAAAAACAAAGTATATTTGTTCTACCCCTTAAATGTCTCAATCTACTTTTCTCAGGGGTGTGTGCAGGCTGGACCCACCACGTGCTGGAGCCTTCATTTGGAAATAGGAGTAATTGTGAGGACTACAGGAGTTAACACATGTAAAGCTGCACTAAAGCATGTGCACCGTTGTCAGAGACCTTAAAACCTTTCCATAGCTGCTTTTGGTGTTTCATGACCTGTTCTCTTTTCTCTCACCACTCTTCCATATTCTCTGCATTACATCTACTGGCATTCTTTTAGTTCCTGGTACAGTGTTTGTTCATGCTGTTTTCTGCCTGCAATAATCTTTCTCATTTTCACCTTCTTCTTAGTCTCTACTTATGTGTCAGTTCTCCTGGAAGTCTTCTCTAACCACCACATCCTACACCCTGATTTTATTATATGAAGTCTTTCTTCTGTAGAATATAAATTCTTGGCACATATAAGCTGCTCAGTAAAAAAGGAATTTTGTTGAGTAAATGGATGTTTTTATAGTAACATGTACATGTTTTAATCTTCACTCAGACTGGACTATAAGCTTCTTGGGAGTGAAGGCTATGCATTTTATTTGTATCTCCTCTACTAGGTCTTACACATAGATGTGATCAAATACGTACTGTAATAGAATCTACTTGGCTCAGTACTCAGCTTCCTACCATCCCATTTTGCACATGCCTTCAGATATCTGGAGAGCCAAGACCAGTATTAACCAGCAGAGGGCAACCAACAACTGTTGTCAAGGGAAAGTTCCAAGGTTTACAAAATGGACGATCTGGACTGAGAAGGAGAAACGGGCAGAGGTTGGTTGTACCTGGGAGATCCTACCTTTTGCTCTCAAATGCTTCCTTTGTAACTTTCAAAGATGAGAAACCAAGGGTTCAAACTTGCATGAACAGTAAATAATTTCAAATGTTTACCATCCCTACAGCCCACCCCAATTCTCCAATTCTTTAATCTTTTCCCTGTCCTATCTCTTTGTGTTGTATGATCAAATCCTCTCTCTTTGTGTTGTATGATCAGCACACCCTGTCATTCTTACATATTTATTACATTCTACTCACTGGTATTCTTTAGTTTCTGGTTCAGTATTTGGCTTTGCTCATCTACCTGCCCTTAAGTTACCTTCTCCATCTAGTCTTGCAATCCCACTCATTCCAACCTACTAAGGAACTTTCCATAAATAACCTTCCTCAACATGTTCAAATTCTACTCCACTGGATCAGCCCTTCATTCAGAACAAAACTACACCTTCACTCAACACTTCCAAACCACATTCTTCTACTTCCTTTTATTTTTTGAATAAAATGTATACCCTATGCCTCCAGCTCCATATTATCTTAATACTCTGTGGTAGAAACCTTTGCTGTTTGAAATCATTGATTTCTTAATTTGTTTCAGAGATACTGTACTCTTTTTTCTCTTGGAACACTGTTTCTCCATCTCATGTTTTTCTCCTTCTGTGGAATTCTACCAAAGCTTCATTCTTTTCCTTCCTCCAAGACAAAAACCCCAAGCCACCATTCCAGGCATGGCCTCTCAGTCAAACCACAGTCCTGTATCTCCAACTGTCTATATATCCACATAGCTAACCTGTCACCTAAAACACAAACAAAACTTTTCTTCCTTTCAACTTTTTTCCATATTTCTACTTTTCTCAATTCCATCCAGTTTCTAACCTTAAGAATTGTCTGACATTTTTTCTCCAATGGCCTTGCAGTTTCACCATATTTAAATCTCTACAACACTACTTTCATTGTATTTATTCCCATCCAGGAACTTCAACGCTCCATCTCATCAAATGCATGCTCCTATTATCAATATACCCTGCCTAAATCACCCTTTTTTTTTAATCCTTGTTAAGATACCCCAATTTAATCAGGCTAGGCATTTCCCTCTAACAGCCTTGTTCCTTCTCTCTCGGGAAGCTCTTTTACCTTATAACCAACAACTAGCCAATGCCACTCTAATGATCAAAGCTACAAATTCTCGGATCATAATAAAAATTTATTTTATGTGACTAAAAAGCTAATGTAGGGGAATCTAACACACAAGAACTTAATATTATCCCCTTGCAAGTTGTTGACTTGTTCCAAATGTTTGGATCTCTGCAGTTTATCCAGTAAAGCAAAAATCATCAGAAGACTTGAGCTGAAATGATCTCAACTGACGCTTATTTCAGGAATGCTGTCATTGTACAAAACATTTCTGGAACTCCTTCACAGCTAGTTATGAGCCGCATTTAAATGATTCATTACTTCATAATTGCTTTTTTAAAAAGCTGACACATTAGCCAACTTTATCATTTAATCTATTTTCCAGATTTTGTTCTAGATTACTTGTGGAATTCCCCCAGGTCCCATTCTTAGCCTTCTTCCTGTTCTCTCCTTTATGTTTACATTAATTCCTAGAATTTCTTGATCACCTCTGGGCAGATAACTCCCAAATCCACATCTTTAACCTTAACTTCTTGGTGGTAAGCTCTAGATTCACATTTCCATTTACTATCTAAACACTTCTATGTGGAGGTACTTCCAACCCAATGTTCCCCACATGAGCTCACTACTTCACCCCTGAAACCTGCTCAGCCTCTCCTCCCTATTCAGGTTAATGACACTGTCTTCTCATTCACACACACTAGAAACCTGTCTATCTGTGACTCATCTTTGGTAATGTGCCCCTTGTTAAGTGCAGTGGTTATGAGCTCAGGCTCTGGAATGACTTTCTGGGTTAAAAACCCAGTTCTAATTGCTGTGTGAATTATGTCCTTTGTCTCAGTTTTCCTACATAGAAAATGGAGAAGTGGAGATGATAATAGTGCATTTTGATAAAGTTAGGATGACTAGATAGTTAATACATAGAATAGTAAATGTTCAATCTGGCTGTTACCCCCTTTACTCACAGCCAATATCTGATCCTCTTCAGAACTCCGCTCCAATGATTCTTCTGAGAAGCGTTCCCTCCTGTGTCCTGTTAGGTAAGTAGTTGACCCCTTTCCTTCTTGTTGTACATTGTACTTAGTCCTTATCTATTAGTAACAAACTATTCTGTATCCCCCATTATTTGTTCAAGTGCATCTACTAAGCTGCAAATTCCTTTAAAGACTTGTTTATTACTTGTGTATCTCAAATGCCTAGCTCATCTGGCATATGACAGGTGTGCTATAAATGTTGGCTGAGTGAATTTAATCAATTACTAAGGCCTATCAGTTTTTCTCCCTGTCTATTATCCTCCCTTCCTGCTCTACTTCTAACTCAAATTTTCTCTTGAATGAATTACTGCAAAGCTTACTAATGTCACCAATTTTCACTGTCTTCCCACTGCTACTAGAATCATGAGTTAGAAGTCACTTCTCAAAAACTTATCTAGAAAACTAAAGTACAAATTCCCTGTTAAGTATGGTTCCCGGATCGGATCCAGCGTTGGATAAAAAATAGCTCTACAAGTACTTTTCCTGGGACAATTGGAAATGTGAATATAGGTTTATATTAGATTAAGGACATATTAATTTCAAGTGCTTATAATTTTGGCAATGAATAAAATGTTCTAATTTTTCAAATCTATACACTGAAGTAAAAAATTAAACCAACTGACCCTCTGCATTTCCCTGCCCACTCTCCTGACCTTTCAAGTCTAGAATGAGTTGACAAACTTTCTATAAAGAATCAAATAGCAAATATTTTAGGCTCTCATAGCTCTGTCAACTACTCAACTTTGCTGTTGTAATCTAAAAGCAGCCATAGACAACACATAAAAATGGCTGTGTTCCAAAATAACTTTTCAAAAGTAGACAGCAGGATGCAAGCTGTAGTTTGCCGTAGAACAAATACTTCTGAAAAAGTCTTTCCTGGTACCCATCAGAATTAGTGGCTTTATCTGCCCCCTTGCTTACATATTGCTTGTAAATCCACTTACCACATTTATTATGTCTTATCATATACTCATCTCCATTATGGAGCCAGTCAGTCTTTGAAGGTAGGTGCCATTTTGTTACTCCTTCATCCCCACCCTAGTGAGTTCCTTATAAAACAATGACTGTTGTTTCCAAAAACCAAACCTACCCTAAAAAGAAGATTTGGTACTATTCATGACATTCAAAAGAATGAGCAGTAGGTTCTGAAAGTAATTTTGAATACAAAAAAAAAAAAAGCACTATTGGTATCACTAGAGTGTATATATTGCCCTTATGCTCTCTATTGTGATGTGTTCATCTTCATTTTAGAATCAGACCTTGTGGGTATGAACGTGTAGACGACTCAGGCGGCACAAGAATGCCCTTATACCTTTTAACCCTGCTAAACTATCTAGAATACTATTAGGTTTACCTTAGGTGCATGATAAATGCTCAACATCAATTTAAAATATAGTTCTGGGAGGAAAGAATGTTTTCTTTTTTTCATGACTGGAAGAAGGTGGCAGCAAAAAAAGGGTTTATCCAGGTTTGATAAGCACAGCAGGTAGTCGTTCCGGGTTCCTTTACTTTGGTTAACTTTCCTGGTTAAACTGAGACATTGGGGCGTAGAGGCTTCCCTGCCTGCAATGGAATCCTAGATTCCCAGGGAAAGGTGGGACAAGGGAGAAAGGTGTGTGCTTATCTTTTGTGGAAAGTGTCCCAAAAACCCAGGAGCACTTAGGCAAGACATGGAATTTGGGGCACAGGCACCCTGGAAGAACACAGTTCAGACCACTGGAGACAGAGTGTTGGCTGCTACAGAATAGAAAACAGGAAGGAAGAACTTAGGAGGGCACACAAGGCAAAGAAGATGTGACATGCCCATTACTTGCAGACAACCTCCTGAAATAGGTTATTTCCAAGACAAGAGTAGGTTACAAACCAAGGAAGAAGTAAGGAGATTTAAGGTGAGAAAAAGGCCAAAGCAGAAAAGAAACCTTCAAAAGAAGGGGAGTGATATTGAATTAAGAATTTAGAGAGTTGAGTGAAAGATTTATTAGTGCAGTCGATACCTTGGAACAGCACATATAACACAACCAGCAACCTGCAGAGACACTAGTGCAAAGGGTGGGGAAGCCTTAACTGAGCTTCCTGGCTCCATCTGAAGGTGATGATAGGAGGGTATGGGCCTTAGTAAGGCGGGCAGGGGCAATGGGAAACAGAAGAAATGCAGTAACCAGATTATAGCAGCGTTTTCAAATTCCTGAGCACAATGTCCTGGAGCTGGAACATATGACTGCTCCTTACTCCCTTCGAGCTGTATCCTTCCACTCCAATCCCAGTGGATCCATGACCCTACTACCCAGACCTACAGCAAGCTGGCCTGAAATAACACTCCAAAAAGAAGGGAAGCTGTTATATGGGCATCTCTCTTAAACCCCACTCCCACCTGCATATTAGAATATCCACAGCCACTACCCCTCCCCTTCTCTTAGTCTACCAGTCACCTTAGAGAGCATGGGTGAGACAGAGCACAGCCTGTACTCAAAAGACAAAGACATAATTTCTATCCCACCTTGCTTAGTATAGCTTAGAACCCAGCTATATATCTCCAAGAAAATGGGATGGGGGATTTCTTCAAAATTAATAAAAGTGACCCTGGAAGGGTCAGGAACTAACTTCTCCAGAGGGCAGAGGCATCAATGTTGGACTGTCACAGCCATCACTGAAATAGAGGAAGCTCCTCATCTCAGATGGGGTTATGGAGGGTTAGGGCAGACATAAGTTCAGCCAAGGACTCCCTTGGCCTTTCCTATATTAAAGCCAAAGGTTGTGCTGAAAGGGAAAAATATATAATAGACCCCACCCATCCCACCCTATCCAGAATCCCCACCATAGGAACAGCAAAAGAAAAGTTTTAAGTTTTGTTAATTTTTTTTCTTTTTCCTTTCTTTAAAAAAAAAGTAAATAAATTAAATTGCCAACAATGTGGCAGGGCTGGAAACATGGGGTAGCCATAACTAGGCCATTCTTAAAAAAAAAAAAGTGGGAGGGAAGGAGTAAAATATAAACAAGTAACAATGGCCAAAGGAAATTATCAAAATTAGTTACAATCACAGGGCTGGAGAGGGGTCTATGGAACTATTAGGCCTGTGCCACAGAGGCAGTGCCTACCCAATTTCAGCAAAAGCCAGAGAGCTGCTTCTTGCTAAGCATATTCACCCCAACAGACTAACCCCCTACCCCCACTCCTGTCATTCCCTAATTAAGAGAAAGTGTAGGAAAGAGCTCATCTGGAAAATTTCAGCATCCCAACCTGCATACCTGCAGAACCAGCGGGAGCTTGCACCTGTAAGGTGGGCTAAACAAGGTATTGCTTGGCACAGAGGTCCAGTCTTCCCCTAGGGACCATCAGTGATGGCCAGTTACTGGCCTCATTATTTATCTCTAGGGCTTTGGTTCTACCCTGTTCCACTCTTAACAATTCTTTAAGATGTCTGTTCCCCAGAGCTGTTCTCTGAAAGATGTTTAGTCAACAGGCCTGCCTGCTCAGATTCCCTGGTTTTGGAGGAGAGAATGATTAAAGTCTCCTCACTCCATCCTGATCCTCTAGAGAAAATGAATATTTTGTGCTTTCTGAAAATATCTGGAACCAGGAACCCTAGGCAGGGAAATAGATATAGAGGTAGGGACTTTCCCAACCAGAGTGAAAATTTACAGACATCTTAGGGGAAGTAATTAGGCAAAAGGAAGGGATCTGGATTTCCCACCTGAAAGGCTAAGCGAAGTGCCCCAGGGCCCTTCAGTGCCAGAATAGGAGGGAGATGTGTGGCTCAAGTGTACGCCACAATATTAAGGACAGTGGAGAGGACTCAGGGCCCAGCTACTGGAGTGATGAGATTTTCTGATTTCCATCTCTTCCTGACAGCCCGCTGAGATCTATATCTCTTCCACGCCATGCGCAAATATCATGACAAGCCCCGGTTCCTGCACCATGTCATCACCCATATGCTGGTTTTCACAGGCCATCACGACAACAGCCTGCTTGCCAGGGATGCGCTTGGCCACGTAGTTCTCATAGTACCGCCGGTTCATCTGTCTTGTCTCTAGTGTAGCCAGACCCTGGGGCCAGCTCCGCTCGTGGGCATTTTCAATCAGCTCATTGACAATAGAGGCAGGACAGCCACTCTCCACCAGGGAGCGCTTGATTACAGCCTGGAGTACAGCATCTGGGGTCGAGATCATCCCTCCCCAACGGGTCACTCTTGCTGGCTGCAGAGAATTCACCCACCTGTGTGGAGGGGGTTGGAGGTGGTCATTCCAGCTCATCCCCTTTCTTTGCATGGCTTCTTCCCTTAATGGGAACAACCACCCGCTCTCTACTAAGCTTAACCCTATTCTTCCTTCCTTCCTTCCTTCCCCCTTCTCTCCCTCACTCCCTTCCATCACTGGCTCAGAAATTCCT